TTATAGGCAGGTGTATGTGTAACATATGCAAGCAGAGATGTAGACTCATTGGCAGGTGTATGTGTAACATATGAGGAGAGTTGTAGACTCATAGGCAGTTGTATGTGTAATATATGAGGAGAGATGTAGACTCATAGGCAGGTGTATGTGTAACATATGCAAGCAGAGATGCAGACTCATAGGCAGGTGTATGTGTAACATATTAGGAGAGATGTAGACTCATAGGCAGGTGTATGTGTAACATATGCAAGCAGAGATGTAGACTCATAGGCAGGTGTATGTGTATGTACATGTGCAAGCAGAGATGTAGACTCATAGGCAGGTGTATGTGTGACATATGCAAGCAGATATGTAGACTCATAGGCAGGTGTATGTGTATGTACATGTGCATGTACATGTACATGTGCATGTACATGTACATGTACATGTACATGTGTACGTGTATGCGTATATATATATGTATGTGTATGTATATATGTATATGTAAAAGTGTATGTGTATATGTATATGTATGTGTATATATCCCCAGCAGACAGTACACACCTTAAAGCGTATGCCTCCGGGGACGTCGATGTCAAAGAGGTGCACCTTGCGATGCTTCGCAATACGCTCACCGGCCCTATTAAAAACGAGACTGGTGTTGTAGTATGTGTCGCCGTCCTTCTCTGGGATAGAACCGCCAACCAGGAACACGTTGTTATCCTGTTAACAATCGGTTAAAGGGAAATGCAAGCGTCAATGGTGCGGAGAGGAAATATGTATATATAAGTGTGTCTACAGATATATTCGATGCGAAACCTTTATATATATCTAAATATGAATACACGCGTGCGCATATAATTGCAGAATTTCAGTTGCATGTGATGACCCCTCACCTTAGCCATTTGCGACAGTGCTGTGGCTGACTGTCCAGTCACTAACTCGGCGTACTGTGCGAAGAACTGGGTGCCGTACGGAGAGTTGAAGCATTCCTGTAGAGAGATAGGGTGGTACAAATACGTATAAGGATTGATAAGGTGGTATAAATAAGTACAGGGATTACAGGGTGGTATAGATATGTATAAGGATTACAGCGTGCTAAGGATTACAGCGTGCTACAGATATATAAGGATTATAAGGTGGTATAAATATGTATATGGCGGTATAAATGTACATAAGGTGGTATAAATATATGTCAGGTGGTACAACTAATACACGTAACGATTCGAATATATATAAGGTGGTAAAAATACCAGAAACAGGGTGATGTATTACTAATTCTCGAGAAGGATTTGCACAGTGGCCATCCCAACAGAAGTATTTGACATTATATCATAAACATGAACAAGCCAAAGCATAGAAATCAAACAGCTATGCAAGATGTGTGCGTGCAATAGCAACACTACTCTGACAGTATGAGCGAGATTGTATAAATCGAACAGTACATACAAACATACATACACATACACATACAAATACATATATTTATATATGTATCTATATATGTACGAATATACACACATATATAGATATATATATGTATAAATAAAATATAGATAGATAAATAGATATATATATATATATATATATATATATATATGTATTATATATATAGAGTATAGAGAGACTAAGTAAATAATAGACGAGGTAGGTAGG